AAATCAGGAAGGAGTTATATGCCTCATGAAGTCTAGAGGCTCTGCTGTTCACTTACAGTGTTGTGTGTAACAGAAAACTGAAGCAGTCATACGCCACTAGTGATATGGTAGAATATCACTGTCATAAGAAAGCGCTTTGCGTTGTGCTGTCTTAAGTATGTCGGAGTGGCAGAACTACCTTTAGTAACAGATAAACCACATTGTTGAAATTTGCACACAAAATTGTGCCCACAACATCCCAAAATAGTGGCTTCTAGTTTAAAAACGAATTTTTCAGAGTGTAAAAGTATCAAAATCTAAAACTTCCTAAGGGTATTCATTCCTATTAGTTTTTCTCAGCAGATGTCCACAGACAGACAACAAAACAGTGAGAAGGTATCAGCATGACATGTAATGGTTGTTGCACACTAGCAGCATAACTGGTATCAAAGTTTTGGTTGGTATGGAGCAAAGGAGAGTGTTTTGGGAAGAAAGAGGCAAGGTGGTTCTGCTGCCAGTTCCTGAAATGGGTTTTGAATAAGAAACTGAATGGATGAGGCAGGTATGATTGCATATCAACTGCATACCTGGAAAAGCTTAATATAAGAACTGAGTGGTGGTCTCACGTGACCCTAAGTGTTCCAGGCATTCTGATGAAAAGGATGAAATTTTGCTGTTAGTGATTGCAAGAAGAAAGCATCTGTTGAATCTTTGCTGCAGAAAGAAGTAGAAATCCCAGGTCATCTCTAAAATATGATCTGAGCTACAATCAAAATGATCAGCCAATGGATATTAGGTGATATTTAATAGATTCATTTGGGTTTGAACTGAATTTGAGTCAGTTAAGTGATGGTTTGGATTGTAATGGACAAGAAGGTATGCTTGGAAGATAGAGAGAACGAATGTGTGTTATTAAGAAAGCAAGTTATATTTCAGTCTGCAGATAAGATCACTCATATGAGAGAAAAAAAAAGGGAGAATAACAGAGGACCACAGAGAAACCTAAAGAACATTTTGATTATAGATCATCTGTAGTCTAGGTTGCATTCTTTGGGGTAGATGTGTGAAACTATTTATATCTTGTCCTCAGAATTGGAGATGATACCAATTGGTACTTAAATACAAGGATCTGTAATAAGAACCCATTAATACTGATCAAGGATTAGTTCTTTTGTGTGAGTTCAGTGTTACACCACGACCTTAAGAGCTCCAGCGACTATAACTAAAGAGAACAGTGACAAATGGCACTGGGTAAACTCATTCCCGAGGAAGTTATTCGTCTGCTGAGGTTTGGCAAGGCTACTGTGATCCCGATTAGGAGAAGGATTTGCAAGAAATGCAATCACAGGTGACCAATATTCTGAAGATCTGCTCAGAAGGTGCTTAGGGTGCTTAGATACATAGAGAGAAATAGGTACTGTCTCTCACACTGTAATATCATCAGTCATTGTGATTCACATTATAAAAAAAACAGTGCAAGGAGGAGATATGTACAATATATCAATTTGATAATTTTTGGCTGATAATGAAAAAAACTTAGTGTTTACCAATAACTTTTAACTGAAGGCTATGTAACTTGTGTATTCTTCAACAAATTTATCTTTTAATTGAAACATTTGCAAAAGAAAAATATTTAACCTTTAAGGTAATCAATTACTAAGAGGAGCAAGAAGAAAACAGTAGTAACCCGGCATGTATTAAACCAGCTTATACGTGCCAAATAACAGACATCAAAGACATTTAAAATCTGCAGAGCTGAGTCAAGTGTCTGAGTGATTCTCCTAATCTTGAATATTGTAAGGTAAGTTTTAAAATTGCACATTAGGAGTTACATAACACCTTTTAACTCATTTTCCATTCTCATATGCATACAGTAATTTGGGGGATTACTACAGTTTTGAGCTAAGGACTGGGCCTGTAGACTGGAACAAGTAACTAGGATGTAGGAAGAATTGATTCAGTCTTGAGGAGGTTGGAGTTTTTCCCCCCTCTTCCTCAACTTGTCCGTCTACCAGAAATCTCTCTTATCCCTTCAGTCTTCCCATCATTGGATGTCCACTTTAGACTAGGAATGATGTTCTTCATTTCCATAGCACATGCAAAGTAGACACCGCTGCTCAGCTGGCTAATGCTTTGGGTCAATTCTACATACTCTTTTTGGTAAATGTTCCCATATTAGCTTTCTTAATCTTAAGACTTTCAGGCATTAGACTAGCAATTCTTTTAGTAACCAACTTCCTCTCAAATAAAAATTTTGTTTAAAAGTAACTATGAGTATAATACTATTATTGAAAGTATATTTTATGCAGTTGTTACTCTTGTGAAGAAAATAACTGTGCACTACATTTTATAGAAGGCCTAGATTTGCTTTAATTTCTTGTGCAAAAGTAGCCAAAATATAATCTTTCTCTTCTATCTCTGATAGCTGTTGAAATGAAACACAAAAAAAAAGCTTCCCAATTGATTTGGTTTCATTTAAATAAAATAAGAGGAGGGAAAAGAAAAACTGACTAAATTTGATCATTATTACTGAGACAGTAATAATGGTTACATCTAAACTTATCAAGACAGGGTCTAAATCAAAAATGAACTTAACCATCCAACAAATAACGTTCAACATAAAAATTTGCTTATTGCTCCTGTCACAGATAATATATTTACATTAAACCCTCTTTTTTAGGTTTTGAAAAACGGAACCTGGAATTAAATCTAGGTCTGTGAGTATATTTTAAATATTTGCACACTTTAGGTAGATATGCTGAGGCTGTAAAGGATCAAGATCAAAGATTCTATAGTCTAGCCAGTTCACATGTAGGAAATGCAAACTTGAAAACTTCGTAAGGATTTACAAGTTTTATTTTAGGGTTACGTTAAGTTATTCACAGAATCATAGAATCACAGAATGGTTTAGGTTGGAAAGGACCTCAAGGCTCATCTAGTTCCAACTCCCCTGCCATGGCAGGGACACCTCCCACTAGACCAGGTTGCTCAAGGTTCCATCCAACCTGGCCATGAACACTTCTAGGGATGGAGCATCCACAACTTCCTTAGGCAACCTGTTCCAGTGTCTCACCATTGGTCTTGATTTACAACTTTTCTAAAATAGATTTCAATCTAAGAAAAAATATGAAATAATAAATATGAATTACGAGGTAAGCCCTACAAAACCTAAAATCATACAGTTTTATATAAGCCTTCAAACCGCAGACACAATTGTAGCTTTCTTGGTAGTTGCTAATGTCACAAACATGCTTACATTGCCTAGTTACTACACGTGTCTATATTGAAGTTACTTTCTGTCAGAGCAATACGTACACTCTTGATAGGACATTTTGGGACAATTATTATATTAGTTATTATTCAGCCTTTGCCCTATTGTGTTCTTATATCACCTAAGTTAACTATGATCACCTAGAAGGTGCTGAAAACACAATATCGCCGTGTGTGTGCATCTAGCAGACTATAATTGCCATATATGAAAAGAAAAGTTATAGCTTATAAGGACATGAATATATTCTGTATTTTTTTCCATTTACCATTTAGCTGATAATCTTATGATATTGTCTTGTGATAACCTAGATTCATAAATATTTTAAGTAAATTTGGTACAAACGAGATAAAAATCAAGGAGTAGGTGGTAGCATCTAATTTTAAATCTCGAAGCAGCAGCCTTGGTTTGTGTCTGGCCCTAATATTAAGACTTCAGAAGAATAAACAGATCTACTGATTGATAGAACCTCTGGCTTTTCATAAGTGTTAAGATTTCTATTTTGTTATGGCTGTTATTATAATTTCATTATGTCCTCTAGGACAGATATTTTTTCAAAAAAAGCTGTAACAGGATTCAGCACTACCATTATGGAGTTATGATCACAGCTTTAGCGTTAAGCGACTTGCTTTGTTTTCCAGTAGTTTCAGGGATTCAGTGTTTCTGTTCAGAATATCTTTTTCAAAATCACAAAAAAAATCATGGCTATAATAGAAGGCACTTTCTGAGAATTTATAAATAGATCTGTACTGTTCATTTATTAATTTAAATGAAGACAAAATTTTTTTGACGATAACTGTTCATCAGCTACCAAGCACTTCATTTGTCTTCTATAATATTTGTACAGGACAGTCATGAAAATTTCTGTGATTAAAACTCATGGACTTTTTTTTTTTTAATAAACTACATTTGATTTTTAAAGGCATTTTTTCCTTGCCATTAGTCATTCTGTTTCCTCTTTCTTAGATCCTAATGTTCTCCTAGAGAAAATAACAGTCAGCTTGGGTCTCTTTCAAAATGACTGATGATTCCCATTTATGTGAACAGAGGCACTTTGTTGTTATCAAAATGGCAACCGCCTCTATTATGCTCTAGCTGAAGGAATCCTGTAGTATTTATAAAGTCTGGCCATGGCAGTCATGCTGAAAGAGGACAAGTCCTTGGGAGTTTCTCAATAAACAATGATTTTATGAAACAACCCTTGAAAGCAGATAAGCATTAGGTTATAGAAAATAATGACAGTTTTTCCAGGTTTTTCCAGTTATCTTACATTATGAGGACTAGTTATCAAATAAGACAGATAGCAAGAACCACCATCATGACAAAACACAAAACCATATACTTTAAATTACTTAAATTCTACTCTACAAGTATAGACACAACTACATACTCATACTTACAAAAGTACAATAAAGAATATAATTATTTTTCTATACTTTTATCATGTATTTTCCTGTCTATTCTATTACTCTCTGCATGTCCTGAGTTAACAGTGACTGTGATGAGGATATATACACATTCCTGTAGTGTTTTTTTACCCTTTTTAGCAACATGCATTCTCAATGTTGATTTGATTCCATTTTAATTGCAGAAATTAGAAAACTCTTTATATGTGTGGGTTTTTTTTTTAATAAAACACTATGATGCAAAGCTACCAGATTCTTATTTTAAAAGATAATTCCTGATTTGAGGATTCATACAATAAACAAACCAATTATTTTATACTTAGAAATACTGACATACTGACACATACCTTGACTTTTTCTAAGTGATCCTGCAGAGAGTCAATTAGCAGATCCCCCACTGGCTGCCAGGATCCTTTGAACACTTCAGCCTGGCGCAGTTTCAGGTCCAGTTCATCCATTGCCTCTTGAAGGCCCTGCAGTCTTTCAAGAGCATCATCTATCTTCTTTTGCCAATCAGCAGACTGTAGATTCAGCTTATCCCACTCAGTTCTGACCTCATCTGCTTGCCTTTGGAGAAGTTTAGTGACATTGTGGGCCCTTTCCTCAGGTGACAGCTCTAAATGTGAAAGTTTTTAAGACATATTCTGTCTTAGAAGAAAAATAATTGCCATCCAGGTAAGTTCAAAGCTCAGTAAGAAACTATTCATAAACAAAGACACCTGTGAAATTTATTTTATTAATGTATTCTCACTTGAAAATCTCTTAACAATTTTAAAACTTGCCACCACACAGATCACCAAAATATGCATTTAAGTACATAAAGGCATTTTTCAACTTGCAAGGTGTAGCTAAAAGTTTATCAACTGTGTCCTGATTCAGTAAGATAGCTCTACACATACATAAATATTAATCACTGTGAATCTTTCGCTGCAACTGAGTGGATCTGGGAGCTTCTGTAGCACCAAGACTACAAGTTGAATTTTAGTTTAAATTTCAGACCTCAAATGGGCCTATAGTGGTACACAGGTCCTGAAGGTTTAAAGCCAGTTTCAAAATCTGCTAATAAATACGTATGTCTATTTAGTGCCGCAGTGTTCAGAAGGATCACTAAGGGTTTCTTTCATCTGTATTTTTAGCTTAGTTTCTGAATACTGACATTCAGTGTGGAGTGTAAAAGGAATGCTTTCACAGTGCCTGGCAGAATTTATTTAATCATCACTGATCTTTCCAGCAATGTGTTATTACCCTGCTCTTTCTTCAATTACCTCTTGGTTCTGGGTAGAGCTTCTCCAGTCCCTCCACAGGCTGCTCTGTTAAGAAGATTCGCACAGTCTCAAGCGCACTCCTGATAACAGGTTCTTTTGTTTTCAGCTCCCTCTTGAAAGTCTAAGATATGAAACAAAATTATTGTAAGTGGACATATAATGAAATACTGAGTGCTAGCCCTTGTTTTCCTGAGTTTAAGATCAAAATTTCCAACAACAGCTTCCAACTGTGTATTTCAAGTAGGTAAAAAAGATAAATGTAAAAGACATAATCAGCTTTTACTTACCTGAAATCACATTGTATTCAAAGGAGCAGATATACTGCCAGCATGCTGTGAAGTACCCAGGGTTGCTGGTCAAATTTTCACTGTGAGAAGGATCCCTTTCATTGATCAACGTCAGGGCCAACTCCAAAACCAAGCTGCAAGGGGCAACGATTTGGCTGGCTCTGTATTAGATCATACCAGCACAGCTAAACGGTTGTTGACAGCAAGATTTACCAGAATGTGAAGAAAAATCCACTATATCTCACAGCTACCGCTTTGCTACTGCTGCTGCTGGCAACTGTTACCTCTTAAGGAAAAAAAAAAAAAAAAAAGGGGGCCTATTGATATAGACATGTTAACCCATAACAATTATAGCAGAAAAATTTCCAATACATTAAATTGTAACATTCCCGTCTAGTAGTGGTGTAGATGCATCTCTTCCAAAAGTACCTGAACTGAGTTTTGTGAAATGTAGAATCAAGACCAAGGTGAAAATTCAGAAATACAAGCTAGCCTTAGATGTAGGCATGCATGAGTAAAAATTAAAGGGCACAAAGTAGTCCATATGAAACAGCTAATTCCTAGTTGTTTTAATCAGTACTTATTCTCAATTTCCATATCTTTATGTTTAACATTGCTCAGTGGTACGTTCTGCTCCTTTTCAGATCAACTGTATTTCTCCCTTTCATCTCTTCCTTTCCTGTCAGACTTTTTGGCACCTGACTCCTTTCTTGCCTTTTCTTCCTCTTTCCTGTTTACATTTTTCTTCCTTGCTTTTAAAATGACCATGAGATTCTCAAGGTTGGTATTTGAAGTTTTGTCAGACTGCTGAAAGTATACATATTTATGGTTTTTTGGGGGGTTTTGTTTGGTTGTTTTTTTGCAGTTGTTAAAGAGAATTTATGATTCCATTAATCTGAAACCAAATGTTAACCACATAAAAATGCAGATGAAACCTGGCCTGTGGGTTGCATGTTGCATGGGGTCTTTTGCATGTTGAATTGAATTTAGTTAAATGGTCCTTACCACTGTTTTATTTCAACATTCTCTTCTCTATTTATGAAACAATATTGAATGCATACTGTCTTCAAGCAGCATAGAGGTTAAATATACAGATAATTTTAGTGCAGTGTAACACAAAATACTGCAGAAAGGAGAGCCATATGCCATAACTGGAAACCAGATATTTTACTCCAGGGATCTGAAAATTCTTTTAACAACAGAGACATTATATAGGCTTCTAAGTATAACATATTCACCAATTCAGTTAAATTAATTATTAAACAAAATTTGTGTTTCTGTGCAAACTAATGAAATATCATAAATTCAATATTTAAAAGTTCATTACACTTTGAATTGTATTTGATGTGAAATGTTCTGTACAGGAAATACCTAACAGAACCGATAATGAGAATCACACCTGCGGTTTATAATATAAGCACTCACAGGTAAAAAATTCTTAATACATTTCGGGAAAGTAAACTTAAGGAAATGACTACGTTATTCTACTATAAATATTTAGATAAACTATTAAGGGATCTAGAACTGACCATAAAGTTTTTAATTGTGAATCAGGGAAATCCTTTAGCAAAGTGTGCTTCCTTGAAGGAAAGAACAAAGCAAAAAAATATTTTTTTTTTGTCATGGACATCAATGGGACCAGGATCCTTTCAGAGTGTATCCGCTATCATAAGGGAGTCTACTGTTTGATTAATATCTGTGATAAATATTTTAAATAACCATGTTTTAAATAACCATGTGAAAATCAACACTGATTTTCACAAATAAAGAAGAGTACTGTATATTAACAAGTAAACTATCATTGGACATTGCTCTGCATAAAAAGTGACTGGGGTTATTCCAGGGTTAAAACTCTTTAACTTAGACATTTTTAGGTTTAGAAATTTTTATAATTCATACTTGACTCTCACATGGAGTGAAACGGAAAGAGGAAATATAACAAGCCTTTTTCATGCCTCCAAATGAGGAAAATCTATTCCTTTAATTAGCCTTTTTGCTCATCTCACATTACATCATTCTGTCCTACTAGAGTGTGACAGGTCTGCAGCACAAGTAAGCCAGCAGGTAGCATAACTTAAAACATTAAAACATTCCCCCATGGACTGTGTGCTTTGTTCTCGTCTGACAGAGTTAAAAGCAACATCAACAGTCATATTGGTTTTTAAACATTACAATTTTATAACAGCGTAAAGATATAACATGCTTTATAAATATCTCCAAAGACAAATTATTTCTCAGAAATGTCTGTGCCCAAACCCAATCAAACAGGAGGGATGTGCACAAAGGTCTGTTCTGCCCACACACACCAAGAGCAGGAAGGAGTCACAGTTATTCCAGGGGAACACAGAATTACATCAATTTATAGGATATTTAAAAGCCAGAAATGCCTTTGAGCTATGTATTTGGGAATGAGTAGCACTGCTGCTGCAGTCAGGTCAAGCCTAGCTATGTACATGCACAAATGAGAAAGACTCAAAATATGTTCTTTCAGCTTGTACTGCTTTTGCATAAAACCATACCAACGAAACACACCTAGTAGCATTATATTTCCAAAAGAGTTTTAAAGCCACATTCCTCCAGTATCTCATGTGCAGCAGAATAAGTATAACATAATCAGATATGCATCTCTCATCCCATAAGGTGCGTGAGCAGGAATCATTGTATCTACCTTCTCAAAACAATACAGAAATGCTAATGGGAACTTTCTGACTTTGTATATTTTGTATTTAGTCACAAATAGAAAGAAGCTCTTTCTCTTTTTTTACAGGAACACAGTGAGCCAATGTGTTAAATGTTTTATATCCCAACTTTTCCATTCTGGACGTTGGAGCTGGTGGATACGATTATAGTCTCTAAATCCCAAGTTTTAGAATAGTACACAGTATGGTGTTAAGATCTATTTACATTTCTTGTTGCCTTCCCTAGTTTTGATCTGCAGGCTTCTACTGAGTGAGTTAAAACATGTTTCAGTATAAGAAATTTAAAAAGGAGACAATGAAAAAACCATCAGATTGAAGCAGTAGCACTGAACGGCACTAAAAATAATGAATGCTCATTTCATACTATCCCATTCCAAAAGATGCTCTTAGTGTATGACGATAAAGCCAGGTTTTCTGATCAAAGTTTTGTTGTGGGATATGTACACACTACCAATAAAAATCATAAGTAGCAATAAAGGACATTTTCTCTTCTTTTGGAAAAATAAAGTCCTATCTAGAACCCTGACAAATACATCTTTATAATAAGCAGACCTTAGGCTGAATTAGCCTAAATGAATGTCTAATTTACGGTTAATGATTTCAGGCTAATTTCATTGAATTCCTTAACTTCTTCCACACTTCGTGGTGATTGCAGAGGAAATCGAACGTGCATAATGTATGACCTGACAAAAAAACAAGTAAACTACTTTATTTAAGTATCTCTATTTGTCAACACTACAGCAGTAATGGCATCCTGTCCACCATTTTCATAATACATATATTGATCAGCTTATCTCAGACCTCCACTATCTCCTCATGGGTGTCCTTAAATCTCTTTAGATGGGGAAACACAGACTGTTTAAATTCAAAGATGAAAATATAAGGAGAAGAGAGTTGCATTAGTAAAACTAACATTAATCTGTGTTATTAGAAAAGCAGATACTTTTGCTTTTAATGGATTTTAAAGAGAAAGCATACAATTAAATTAATTCAAGATGTTTCCCAACCTGAACACTTTTTAAGAAAGGGTTTTGACTTCAATTTTAAAAAAGTAGGTATCAATTGTGCCACCAGAGTGTTGAAGCAAGAATTGTACTCCTTTCTAGGTACTGTTGCAATAGATTTCATGAGAAAGGGTTTCCAGGGAACTGTAAATAATTATGTTCTATATTCATAACTGCTATATATGCTGTTAAATCAGTCACTACACAGAAGATATGGCAACGTTTAAAAGAATGGAAGAACAAGCAGGCTATCTGCATGATGCTTAAGTCACTTAACTGAGAATAACAGTAACATGTACACAGTCATTAATACAAATATAAAACATTATTATGACACTTAGTAAAGCAAAGAAAATGGTAAAATAATTAAATAATATCTTGATGAACAGCGGTAATTATTATCATTGACTAACCCTGCCTCATACACACACACTACATTCTAAAACTTTGGCATAGACACAATTTCTTCAGGTGCCAGAAATTGACAAAATGACCCACTATACATACAAGTTCAAACAAATAGCAGTTATGTGGGTGTATTTGGGATAAATTCCAAACTGTCTTGTCTAAAAAGTACCTCACATTTATAACGCAACAATGATTTTAACTGCATGGAATTCTCTTTTCTCAATTGAGTTCAAGCTCTGCTCTGGCATAGATTCAAGCATTTGAAATTTTCATGTGAATCCTACTCTTAAAATTTTTGAAGTCACTCTTGGCAATTAGGAGCGTTCTAATGATAAACACCAACTTCTTTTCATCTCTGCTATGAACATCTGAGGTATTCCAGATGATCTTCTAAATGATAGGGAGGTTAAATATACTTATTTTTCTTCAAATTACACCCTTAAGAGAAAAAAAATTATCTTGTAACACCACTTTAGAAAAAGGATTCAGGCATAAAATCGTGTTTGCATTCATAATGCCATTTCTCAATGGCAATCAGTTAAACTGCTTATAAATAGTGTTCCCCTGCTGAGACTTTTTCTCTTGTCCAGTGAAGAATTTACCTGGGTTCACTTCTAGCATTACCTGGCAAAAACAATTCTTCCCAGACGGAAAGACACCGTACTCATATAGGAAGATCAAAGCTGGAAGTTTGGGTTATTTAAAAGATTGGTCAGATGGGGTAGACACTCAGCTTTTTACTGAAGACCGATTTCCAGAGCTGCCTTTCAGGAGAACAAAATGAACAATCAGTAGATTCTTTTTCTCAAGACCAAAATTTAACTACTCTTTACTTTCACGTCCAATGCTCTCAGAGCTAAGTTTTGTTCTTAAGGGTCCCAAAACTCTTTAAAAAAACAGCTTTCCAGTACTATGCTCCAGTTCAAAGCTAGATACTTCTACGCTTGTGGTACAAGCATTGTTAAAAGCATTTTTCTTATGTTCAGAAATGAGCTGAGCTGTTCATTCGGATACAGCCTTTCTGTATTCGCTTCTCTAAAAGAAACTTTTGGAGTAACAGAAAATCCATAGTGTCTAGGGAAAAAAAATACAGCAGAAAAACTCCAAGCTGCAAACATGGATTTTGTCGAGAACGACCTGAAGTTGACAGAGTTCTGCACTGATTGTTTTTCTCTCCTCTGTAAGATATCATTGAAAAGCAGAGAGGGTAACCTAATTTCAAGGATTATGTTTTGTTCTTTTTACCACAGGAAGTCAGAATACCTACAATTAGCAAGGCCTCACATTAAACTACAGAAGTGCTCCAGAACGGGAAAAGAAGCCTTGTTTCTAAAAGGAACTAAAACGTTCTAGCTTTGATACTAGACATGATGACCAAAGATTTGTGTCTGCATGCATCTGCATGTGGCAGAGAAGATAATCAAAAGCAGAAGTGAGAAGGAGATCTAATTTGTAAAGACACTTTGCACCTATTCATGATACCTTACTTTTATGCAACACTTCTCATCCTTAAAAGTTTTAAACACTTCAGGTGATAGCTGAGTGACAGAGAGATCATTTAGTCCATCACTGAAGTCTTGCCACCTTTATGATGAATTCTGGGAAACTTACTTTCAAATAAGTTATAGAACAATATAAAATATTAAATTTTATGAGGAATAATTTCTCTAGAGGAAAAAATTATTTCTTCGATGTAGGAGGAAAGTTAATGTTTTCAAATACTCAAATATTATTCAGATGACAAAAGTTTTTTTATAACAATTCTATGCAAATCATTCGCTAAGTCTAGTCTTGCTTTGGCTCAAGAGTATTTTTTTTTTGAGAAAGGGTTTGAGTTAATGTCGTGCTGAGTTAAAGTAGCATCTACATTGTTTCTTTCATCCTGATGTTTGGATGGACTTTAAAACTACTTTGTGGAAGTTGCTACAGACAGCTGGCTAGAACAGACCTCAGGCATTTCATATATCTTAACTTTCACAAAGGGAAAGGTAAAAAGGTGGTGCTCCATAAAGTCATGGATGTTTTGGCCTCACTGTTACTGTGAGAATGCTGGAAGTCCCACAGAAAATTTTGTGAGAAAGACACATCCTACACATCACCTTTCCAGAATGAAGACTTAGGAAAAGTGACCAAGGTGCCCCTTGCAGCAAAGCATTATAGTGCCTTAGAAAAGCACTGTGCACTGACAGCGAGATGTTTTTTGTTCATCTTTCTTTTTGGCTTTCTCGGAAATTAGGTAAAGATAGACCCTTGAGAAACCATATTGCCATTACCTCCCATCAGTCTGCTACTGTAGACAAATAGCTGTTTGCTTATGTCAAGCCAAGCCTGGTTTTATATGATATGACTTTTCATAAACTCAGGGTTCCCAATAACTTAAAGCAGCAAGATATGTCATGTTCTCTTTCCAAACTTGATCTTCTCAATATTTGTTCCCAAATGTGTCCTTCAGCATGAGGTAGGACAATCTATTAGAGCGATATTTATAATACAACTACCTTATGAATGGAGAAAACACAGCTATTACAGTTCCAATTTCATTCTATAGTACCATTTCGTATTTCTCCATTAAGCAATAAAATCAGAAATTTAGGAACTTCAGAAACAATACCTTTTGTGGCAAGTTTCACAAACTGAAAGTTACATGTATGCAGCACAATGCTTTGAGAGGATGGTCATTAGTTTTTAGAATATTCTCTTCTCACAGTATTAAGTTGTCTGACTGACAATTTAAATCATTCAATAGAAAATACATTTGTTTGAAATAACTTTTTAGTTGTTACATTGAAATATATTTGGTCACCAAACAGGAGGAAAAACCCTCCCATAATGTCATTATTTTAGCTAAAGACACATGTGGATGGAGGAGAGGAGGGCTAGAATACTACATCCAATTACATTCCAAGAAATGGAATAATGTATAGTGGAGAAATGTCATAATATGAATACTTATATGGTTCATTCCAATCACTATATACATTCACCTTTTAAACATAAGAGGCCAATTTCTTTATATAAGTAAGGTTCCTTGCCCTTGATCTTATACTGTTCTCTGTAAATAAAAAACAAACCCTGACATGGTATTCCTAACTTCCTACTGAATACAGATCTGTCTTAGTGGGTTGAGGTCTGGTTTCTGTTACAGACATTTGGTATTAACTAGTGCTCCCAGGATTAAAGTTTTCATTAGAAACTAACACAAAAGAAAGAGAAGTCTTATCATATGGGCTAGACAGGATTTTATGGAATTCATAAGTGATAGAATAGAAGTTGGGTGTGCTACCCCAGTTACCTTTCATGTGGTTCCCTATTCTTTCTCAGATCAACAGTTCCTCCCCATTTACTGCTTCATTCAGCAATTCTTCAGCTTTATTTTAGGAGGACACTAGTTTCCTAACGGGTTTTCTTATGGCACTGCTAAAAGAGCACCGAAGTACTAGAACTATGAATTCACATTCAGACCTGAATAGACTGCAACGGCACTGCAAATTAAAAGCTGGTTATCTGAAAGCCAACATTAGATTAGCATCAGACAGGTGTGAACAGGAAACATACTTAAAGCATACCTTTACCACAAAAAAAAAATTTGTGAAACTTTGTACGAAAAATTATTCAGCAGTATTGTGTTATTTTGGGGGTTCCTTATTTGGCGGGTTTTAAAAAAAAAACAACTTCCCATACAAGTGTTGGAGTTAGGTTCCTTTTTACTACAAAGCTTAGTTTAGAACAGTCCCCATACGATGCTCTGCTCTTGCCTTTCCATAAGAATTCCCTGATGAAACCAGTATGAGCCATAGACAGTCAGTTATCACAATAGTGTCAAAATGCACACAGTTGTGCATTAGGGCTGATATCAGCCACAGCTATTCTTTTCACCAGTGTTCCCCAAAATCAATAGCAGAATAGGGTTTAAAAAAGTACATATGAAGTTTAAATGTCTGATCTAGAAAAAAAATCAGAACTACTTATTTAATTCTCATATAATATTAGGTTAGTATTTGTTCTGGGCATGAAAACTAGCTCTGTGTGATAGGTCTGTGAAAATGCTGTGTTGCTTTTCAAAGAAGCCAAGCAGCTGGTAGTAAACACGCCCTTTCCAAAAGGCTGATTTTTCAAGCTGTGTTTGAAAATTGTAGCTAGTACTTTCATGCAAGAAGTTCAGTTTTCATTGTCTCTAAAACATATTGTAAAGGGTATCTTACTTTTCCCAACAAGGACTGTTTCATGGAGCACTAACCTGCAAAACAAAAAGCAATGACTGAAAGATCATTTAAAAAAAAATCTCACCCTATGAATATCATTCTGCTTCTGCACAGTGGGAAGATCTCCACCAATGGGTGCTTGCTGTTTTAATTCATCCTCCTTCAATTGCAGCCATGCCAAAAGTTCCTGAAGAGAGAGATGTAAACGCTTCCACTGGTCTGTACTGGCTTCCAAATGGGATCTGAAAGCATGTATTAAATAAAAGATACATTCAGGCATAGTGAAAATAAAAACTAAATTGTACAAGCTTATCTACTGAGAAAGATTCTGGTGTTTCATTAACTCAATGATTTTTAAATAGCTTCAGTAGCTTTGAATTAGATTCTGGCAACACTGATTTAAATTTGGTTCCACAGTCCTGGCCTGAAACATCCATTCTTTTCTCATCTCTCATTCGTTTTGGTTTTTTTTTTTTTTTTTTCCAGTTTTCCTCCTCAGCAGTGAGTAATAGCTGTGTTGAATTGTCAGTCTCACTAAATGTGCACAAATATTATGCAGGGCTCGCATGAGAGTAACATCGTCGTCACTTAGGATTACTAGGGGATTAATTACCTTAAACGCAGAGGGTAGTTTTCAACTCAGAGAGGTGCAAGCATTTCTTTAAACCACTACACAAACCGTTCAAACTCACACAAGATTCATGTAGTTGCTTAACTTTAAGATAAGCGTACCAATGCAACCCTTTCCGAAAAAAAGTCACAAGGAAATCGTTAAAACCAATAGAATCCTCTTACCCCACACGAATGTCTGTGCCATTTGGACAGAAGTGTGAATGAAACTATTGGAATCACTGGAAAAATTAAAAGACAGAATGCTACTTTATGCAAACAAGGTCTCCATCATAAGGACATCTTCTAAATATTTCCTCTGTGTACATAAAAATGTGGGTTTTTTAATACTGGGATCAAGTACTGAGCTACTCATTTTCAGCATGTATTTTCCATGGAGAGAAAATATGTGACTGAAACATCACTGGGCTGATAAGATCTTCCATTTTGTTTATTCCACAGATAAAGCACACTAAAATTTTGTTTTTCTAGACTCATGGATATGCTGGTTTTTTAATTGCTGGTTAGGAAGAAATTCCTGATTCACAACATAAGTGAATATAACTAATTCACGTAACGTAACAATTCCTCTTAGTAGTTCAAACCAAAAGCAGTATTACATAACAGTAAAGCGATAAAAGGTACCAGAAAATAAAGACAGATTTTCTATTATTTAATCTATTTTCTGTTTAAGCTGTTTATTTCCAGCTTTGTTCCTATAATATTTCTTCTTTTTCAGTGATTGCTCATAAACCCACATATTTTTTGACAGTGAAAATTCTACCCCTTATCTCACATAGAATGGCTGACGTGGCTTCAGCTGTGTGGTGCTTAGTTGCTGGTTGGGGTTAAACCATGACAATCGTCTATAAGGAAATGTGATACATATGGACTCAGTGTTTTGCAGACCTTATTACTTAGTTTGGATACAGAAATGTAGAACTGCTGAAGGTAAGTGCTGTTGTATTTCTTTGAAATGCTCTATGAATCCTGTCTTCTTTCCAACCTCTTACACCAGGTATTGGAGTGGCAAGGAAAGAGAAAAGAAAGGGACAGGTTAGCCATAGGCTGACAAAAAGCTCATCTGCTCTGGCATGTGAGCTGATGGAAAATTTTCTCCTTTTTCAAACTTAAAGGCTACGTGGGAGGGACACACAGACCTTGCTGCCTTTTGATCTCTGCTCTCCCAGGGCAGCCGTGGGCTGTGGCAAAACTGCCTTGCAGCAGGCACTGCTGGAGGAGGCCACCCCTGCAGACAGCGAGGGCTGGGGAAGGCCCAGGATGCCTCTGAAAGCAGTGAGGCAGGAGAGAAGCCGGGATATGGTATGGGGAGGTGCAGAAGGCAACAGCCAGAGCAAGGACCCCAGGGCTTTTTGAGGGGACATAGTCGAGGAGCCAAATTTCTGGGTCAGGTTAACACCTGTCTCTCACGTTTATCTCTGCAAATGCAAGCTTCCACCTCCTCCAGAGAAGGACAGCCACTGGAGGCAAATGCTAGGGTCTTAACTTCTTCCCTGCTTCCCCAGGTCTGGCTTTACAGGGAACAAGTGCAAAAAGAGTGACACAAAGCAGTTTTGTTATAGCTTTGTGCTCTGATCTTTCCCAGTTTGGTGAGTGTTTTCCTGAAACCCATCTTATTCCACTCTTCATTCAGCTTCGGGAATATATGTTTGTCTGTGTGCATGCTAGTGTACATTATATAATATCTTCGTATATTTATAACTGTTCAAGCATATGCAAACCAGATAATAGGAAATCAGTTTTAGAAAATTAGTTAGTTATAAGAAAGTGTTTATTAGGGTACACTGTACTGACTTATCAGAATGAAAGGTAATAATGGAAATGAACTTGGCTTCTCCTGAAACCTACCATACATTTTATCCAATGGATACTAACCATCTAAGCCGAGTGACGGCATGGGTCTTCTGTGTCAGCAGCCTAAAACTTATGCTAAATAAGGAGACTTGTGGGACTGATGCCTGATGAACATTTCATGTGCCTGCTCTTATACCTCTTCTGTGTAAACATTACGAGTTATGATGAAATCCATTCCATACTGTGTGGTGGAAAGAAATAACTCCAAGCAGGTAGACTGAGAACAGCCTGTTCATTCAGTCTGGTGGCCGGCAACATTTAAACTGACTGTCTTAGAAGTTAAGAATTGTTTCTTATCCTAATCAATAAGTTGTTGAACACCTTAAGCATTTATTTGAAACAAATATTTTAAAGACGAAGTCTGTTGCCTTAAATGTTTACTGCAAGAGGTCAGTATGATATAACTAGGGTTACTATTTCTGACTTGATTAATGGTAGCAATACATTAAACTGCAAAAAATGAAAGTCAGTAAGTCCCATATATTTAATTACTGATACGTGGCCTTCTGACTGCTTTTCTTATCTCAAACATCACTGCATTTGGGCAAGTTCATGGGTAAAAGGCATGTGAAGAAAAAAGAACATCTTATAGAGACTTTGAAGGGTTATATCCCTCTTCTTTCTCCTCAGAAAAAAAAAGAGGAATGCGTCTCTCTTTTTCTTTACCTACCAATATCTTTTCAACCTCACATCCTTCATTTATATTTAATGATTGATGTTATGAAGATGGCTTTTGTCATTACACAGACTGACCTCCCTCAGGCCCTGAGCTGAAAAAAGCTAATATTTCATACATTGAGAAACATTTCTGCCTTTTGCTGCCCTCTGAACTACCAGCAACACACAGCAAGAGAGCAAAAGAAAAAAATGCCTGAGACTGAATGCAATAGAACCATGTTGCCTATTGTAAATGTCATATTTCTAAAGAGAAGCTTCCTGGACAATTTTTTTTTTACAAGAAAACTTCAGCCCGTTGAAGCCTGCACTCCACTTCATCGTTTGTAACATTACCATTTATTATCTTTTTCTTGCAAGCAGATGTTTTTCCTCTCATGACACTACCTATGGATTTCTTTTACCCCTGGATTTTACTTGGTAATTCTGTCCGCTCTCCAGACAACAGCTAAAATCTTAAATAACTGGTCATCTCATTTGCAAGGCTATTCTTAGTTTTGCACTGGAAACAGTAGCCTTAGAAATAAAGCTTATCATGAATATAGGTTTTTTTAATCACTTTCTTTCACGACTCATTGGTAAGTCATACCCAGCTCTAGAAAAAACCTACTTTTAGAGGGGACATTTTCAGAGGGAGTTACTGTTTAAACATGCTAATCTCTCCTTCTGTAATTACAAAATCTCATCATATGCCTCAAAACCTAATCCTCTACTATCATTTTTACACCAAAAAACCTAATCATTCTTACAAGGTTAAGCCAACATTCAAAATAGCAAAAATCATTTCAAATTTGACAAAAACAGTGCTATCAGAAACAAAATTAAACCTTTTTATTGGCAAAATGCAGCATTCTGTCTTACACACTAACGATAAGCTTTCACTTATGTTCAGGTCCTACCTAATGTTTAGAGATTTCTTCCTAAGATCACTCCATCTGAGATTCATGTTATCCAGACGTCTCTGCAACAGGGCTGCATCCTCAGAGCCTTCAAGGGACCTCAGGATTTTCTGCCCATTTTCATCCAGGTTGTGAAAGATATCAGTATGAGCATCAATTTCCACCTGTAGTTCCTATGGAAGCAATAGAAAACAATACGTGTGATTTCTTACAAAATCATAGAAACTATGGCTCCTCAAAAGAGTGGAAAAATCCGCAGTGCAACACAGAGTTAGCACAGATTTTGATTACTCCTTTTATGGCAATATTGTGTACTGTATACACAGCCATGTTTCCTTTTCACATGAAGGCCATTTACACTGAATAACTACCTTTTTTACATACAGACCATATTGAACAAAATTTAGAAAGTTAAAAGTCTAGCCTCTGACAGGCAACAAAGCAAGGACAAGATACATTTACTGCGCTGATGAGGGACCCCCCCTCCCCAAAACCCTCAGGATCTCAGGTAAATCTGACCTTCACATGGTATGTTTTCCTGTGCAACATTTTCAGTTTGAGCTGGGGACTGCAACACCGGTCCTGCTGCATGGCCATTCCAAGAAATCTACGCGTCTGCAGCAGCCGAGCTTTAAAATGCCAAGTTCCCTTACATTCTGTTGACAGAACGCATTTTGGAGCACAGGCCTCAGCAGTCAACAGCAATAAACAGCCACTTTGTGCTATATCAAAACACTGGTCAGGGCCATGGCTGTAGGAGGCCCTGAGAATAGCAAAGACCTAGAATATGCAACTGGCAGCTCATGTTGAACAGCCAACTTTTCTTATCACTTCGTAACTGCAGGCCAGCTCTTCATTTTCAATTCATTTTTCCCCCCTCATTTTTAGCATGGCTGTTTCTGCCAAAAGAACATTCTTTAGAGAGCTGCCTGGTACCAGCATTCCGCCCACACACTCAATGCAGCCTTTGTATGTTGGCTGCCCTTCTCCAAGACGTTTGCATGCTGCAGCTCCACAAGGTCAGATTCGTTCGCAGAGAACAGTGGTTGAATCAAGCTCTTTTAAAAGAATAAAAATGAAAATCATAATAATAATTTAAACACATACATACATGAGTACACACATACTCTATATGTAGCCACATACACACAAAGGTACTTTTACTTTCAAACAAAGAAGCACACAGAGACACAAAGAAAATTACTTAGTGATAAAGCTCCGCATTTTCTCTTGGGATGCTTGGGCACTAAGATTTCTGGTTGTGGTTTCTTACTGCCTGAAATGGGAATACTGGGGATGAAGTGTGAAAGGGGAAATTATTTATGGCATTTGAAAGCAAGACCCAGCACTAACTGAGCATCACAGATAGTCCCAAATGGAAATCTGTTGTAATTTTCTTTAGAAGAATGACTTTGAAGGAGGGGAGCACATAACGTGTGTACTTGGTGTGTTCCTAATTGAATCGGTTCTATTTGATATTTTGACTGCAATGTTAGCTGCACTGAATCATGAGTAGATTGTCCTTATTCACCTACTGCTGTTCCAAATGTCGTTTGCTGTCCTTTACTGGATACCTATTTCTTGCACAGCAATGACTAATGCTGTATTTGGAGCAATTTTAAAGAGGACTAAGAATGTCTTTGGTACAGTATAGGAGTTCTTATCCAACTATTTTACTTCATCTATGGTCATCCTACCAGTAAAGTACTTAGGAATGAGTGTGGAATACATCAGAGGCAATTCTGCAGAATTCAACTGTATTACAAATACTGTATTTATTTATTGATGTTAAACAGACAATTTAGATTTTTAAAAATGCCATTATTAAGGTACATAACCATGTATAGTATTCCCTTACTTGAAAATCTGTACTTTATTTCAAGTCTTAATGTTCCTAGCTTCAGCTTCCAGCTGCAACATTTTATTTTTGTTTGCTTGACTGAAGAATATGCTATTATCAAATTTCTTTCTCTTCATGTATGCATTTGGAGATTTGATTTAAGCTATGTTAAGAGTCACAAACCTGATGTAAACAGGCAAAAGAATACGTAAGAAAGGATAAAGGTCACCGTAAAAAAAGTTAACTTTTAATGTCTGTATGCTTTTAAGGTCCTTCCGTGTTTAAAAATGGATAAATCTATTGCTGAATGAAAGAATTATCACATGTGTTACGTGTTGCACAAAATGCTGCATTTTTAGGGTGGTGTTGGAAACAGCTGGCTTTTCCTCAGCAAGAACACATTCCATGAAACATGTACATTGAATAACTATTCACAGTAGGAACCTAACAAACCTATGCCCTCTTGGTGTTTTACCACACATACACTGGTAGCATTTTATGACACATAATTTTTAAAAAAATGCACTTCCTTCCACATTTTTCTTGTTTTTTTTAGAAAAAGTGTCTTGTAGTCTACACGTTCCATGCTTTTCTCCTGACACATACATACTTTTGAAAAGGAAATCAAGCCATATCCTTGTTGTTTCAGAATACTACGTAGTGTCACAACAAATCTGGACAGTTAGTTAAATGGACAACAAACACAAAAGACTAAGTAGTCTTATCAAAAACTTAGTATTGAGACCTGATTCCAAATTACCTGTGTATACTGCACTTCTAATGCTCCTAAAAGTAGTTTGTTCCAGCTATGCAGGAAGCCTACACTGACAAAGAAGCAAGACAACAACAAAGATATTTACTCCATTTTGGTTCGTTCAGATCCTTTCTTTGTGATTCCTTCACATCCCAAGAGAAGCAGTACGCACACGAGAAAAAGACCTAGACACCTTTTATTTGTTTTCTGAAATAAGTAATTGCCATGTTTCAAAAATACAAGTGAAAGATCAATATGAACTAGATTCTTTTTCTTGACAAGAATATAGCAGGAAGATCTATTTCATCTCAAACTGCTAAGATACTTGCAAAAGTATACAGTCATTATACATCATACCAAGAAGCACAGAATATAGACTAAGTATAGACTATTTATTTCATTTTCATCTTTTCATTTGTATTCAAACATATGGAGGAACTGCAGAGGACGAAAAATCAATCCTGGTATAATTCTACTGGGTTTCAGTCAGACTTGAGTCTACGGTGCATTTTTGCTGCAGTGGTTATTACTGAGGCTGTGTGGAAATAGATTCCCTCAAAAAGAGCAGATAGCAAAATGAAAAACATCTTTTTAATCACAAATTACTGCTTAGAGTGAGCTGAGTGGCTTAGAAAGAACTGCAATTCAATCAAGCACAGCTTTGCCTAAGAATTTGAGTGAAATCCTCCTTTATTAAGATGAACTATAAAGTTAGATGATAAAAGGTACTGTAATATGCGTTCCTATAAACCTTGCTGAATAGCTATTATAGGTTTCTACACATCTTAAAAATGTGTATTTACATTATTATACTGTATAGAATAAGTCTAGAACTAACTCACAGAACTAAGAATGATAAAGAGATGAAATAAACTTGTCTGAGGGAACTGTCTTCTTAGACAAAACAGGGTGAGGAAATCTGCTCTGGCTGTTTTGCTTCTGTCCTGAGCCCTTGAATTGAAACCTCTACACATGATTTCAGGGGAGAAGTATATTAAAGCTGTAAGACAACACACCCAGTACTGACATAAAGGTAGGGGATGGACATATTTCTCACTTGCCCAACTCAGTTCTCCCCCTTGGAAGTGCTGCTAGCATTCCCCATAGGAGCACACAACCTTCCTGCCCTAATCGTCTTGGCAGGTAAAAGAAATTCACCTGTGGCTCCACATGTTTTATTTTACACAGAGCCTTGTAAAACACAGCAGAGCTGTTGCTGTGAAACTAGTGCATTGAAAGTCCTCTCAGCCTCCACATAACAGAGATAGTCCTTTAAGAATTCAATATGGTTTGAGATACTTTATCAGAAATAATTAATCAGTGTCAATATCCTTCATATCCCACATGCAATATATAGTCATGACCTATAAAGGTCATAAAGCATGGCGAAATCTGCCATTATTTTGGCAATATATCAGAGCACAGTTGGTAGGCTGGAATTAAATGAAGTCCTAGAAATAAAGGAATTAGATAGACTAGTTGGACTATAAAAGAGTCAGACTAAGACACGGAAATTAATGCATCACAGCTGACAAATATTTATCTCTTAGACATGGTAAAAACAAAATTAATTTTGTAATAATTTAAATAAATTAAAGCACTCAAATCCTTTTCTACAAGCTCAGTTCCATCTTTGGAGTTGTGCTTTTAATTTCCAGTGAAGCATTTTACATTTTCTAGGTACTGTACAAAGTTATTAATAAAATAAATGGCATTAATCGAGGTATGGGGGCTCACAAAATTAAAGACATCACCATCTGTTTAAAGGAAATCAACATAGAGGAAAAAATTGACCTTTACTGTCAGGAATTTAAAAAAATAAAGTCAGTCGGTATAATTGCACACGTACTCAAAGCATCGGCACGTAGTACCTGTGTGGCCATACATAGTTCAGAAGAACTAGTCTTTACAGAACTTTTTCTGTAATGCTAATATTGAAATAGCTAGAAAAGCTATCATGAAATTACTCAAAACAAAACAAAGATCCTACATCTCTATAATTGCTCTCCATCTGTGTAGATAGCTGAACTAATCATCCCCTTTTTTTTTTTTCTTAACAGAGTATATTACATTTCCCCTAAATTCTGGAAAATTCCCCTGAACATTTTAAATATCTTAAATTTGTAGCATATTTTCTTAAACCTCTTATACTGTACAAAAATCATGAATAACGTAATTCCTCCCTTTTCTCCATTTTCCTTTTTTCTCTTTTTCTACTTTCTTTTTTCTTCCTTCTCCTTTAGCTTTCTACTGCTTTCTTCCCTTCCTCGCTTGCTATTTTTTCCTCCTCTCTTTTCCTTCCTCTCTTTTTGTTCCTTTCCCTCTTTTCCTTCCTCTTCCATTCTTTCTTCCCTTCCTCTTTTTCTTTTCCATTCTGCTTTCCTCCCTTCCTTTCCCTTCCTATCTTTCCCTCTTTCTTCCTTTCTCTATTTTTCTATCTTTTTTCTACTTCTTTTTCTTCTTTTTTCTTTTTTCTTCTTTCTCCATTTTCCTTTCCTGCCTCTTTTTTTTTTTTTTTTCTTTCCCCCCTTCTTTCCCCTTCTTTTCCCTCTCCTTTCCTTTGTTAAAATACAACCTTC